CGTTGTTTACCCTTGTGTAGTGGTTACACGCCTTGTTTATGTCAGGTACGTTGTTTACCCTTGTGTATATTGGTTACACGCCTTGTCGATGTCAGGTACGTTGTTTACCCTTGTGTAGTGGTTACACGCCTTGTCGATGTCAGGTACGTTGTTTACCCTTGTGTATAGTGGTAACACGCCTTGTCGATGTCAGGTACGTTGTTTACCCTTGTGTATAATGGTTACACGCCTTCTCTGTGTCAGGTACGTTGTTTACCTTTGTGTAGTGGTTACATGCCTTGTCGATGTCAGGTACGTTGTTTACCCCTGTGTATAGTGGTTACACGCCTTGTCTGTGTCAGGTACGTTGTTTACCCTTGTGTATAGTGGTTACACGCCTCGTCGATGTCAGGTACGTTGTTTACCCTTGTGTATAGTGGTTACACGCCTCGACGATGTCAGGTACGTTGTTTACCCTTGTGTATAGTGGTTACACGCCTTGTCGATGTCAGGTACGTTGTTTACCCCTGTGTATCGGTTACACGCCTTGTCTGTGTCAGGTACGTTGTTTACCCTTGTGTATAGTGGTTACACGCCTCGTCGATGTCAGGTACGTTGTTTACCCTTGTGTATAGTGGTTACACGCCTTGTCGATGTCAGGTACGTTGTTTACCCTTGTGTATAGTGGTTACACGCTTTGTCGATGTCAGGTACGTTATTTACCCCTGTGTATCGGTTACACGCCTTGTCGATGTCAGGTACGTTGTTTACCCTTGTGTATAGTGGTTACACGCCTCGTCGATGTCAGGTACGTTGTTTACCCTTGTGTATAGTGGTTACACGCCTTGTCTGTGTCAGGTACGTTGTTTACCCTTGTGTATAGTGGTTACACGCTTTGTCGATGTCAGGTACGTTGTTTACCCTTGTGTATAGTGGTAACACACCAATATTGTGTGCAGAGTTGCGTCCCTTTGGCACGCCAGAAACCTATTATTGTGGGTTCGAATCCCGGTTCGCCCCGATTATAATTCTAGGTTTGTCAGCACCATAACCGTGCTCGTGGGTTTCACCGAAGTGGTAAACGTCTGAGACCTGCTTTACTTCGGGCTTTCCTCCCACATTAAGCTGACACGCCGCGATATAACTGGAATACTGTTAAAAGCGGCGTTAAACCCACATTTAACAGTATTCCAAGGGACGCAACTCTGCGCAGCGAATCGCGGCGCCTTAGACGACTGGGCCATCCGTGCCCCCTGAAGTAAATGGAATTAACCCATCACCTCATAGAGACACAAAATGCAGCATACTTGTACATGAATATCATAGTGAAACTGTAGTGAGTGTCAACGTCGTCCATTTGGTGAGCTGATATTGGGTATTCTATTTCATAGTTAAGTCATCATAATGAGCAATTAACTAGTAAAGCATTTATATATTCAAATCAATAGTTAAGAAACGATAATGAGTTATTTTACAGTGGACTCATTAAGGTACCATAGTATAAGCTCCATGGTCACTTACAACATTGTGCTCAGTGAATGTCAATCCTGTTCATAGCGTACACCATTCATAAATTCAGTTAAAATATGGACATAAGGGTGATCTTACAATACTCTTCTTGTACAATGACTTCATCATTACAGTATAATAAAATACTTTCAATTAATAATTCTTTCCGAATATTCTTAAACCTAATTACCTCAAAACTGAATTTAATTAAATTAAATAGACTATTCTACAACATAAAACTCAAAATCTACCGGCGCTTCACGATAGTGCGGATGCACTTATATGATGAATATTTAAAAGTCATTGCCGAGTCTGTGCGTATTTAGCTACAGAAACAGTGTTATTTCTCGTGTATTGTATTCTAGACATATACGGTCACAGACTAGATATCTTGAAATACATACATTTAGCAGCCGATGCTATGCTACTCTTTATATTGAAACATGAAATGTTTCCCGTGAAAATACAATGAGACGAATAAATATAACATGACAAAAATATAAATGCAGATAATAGAACACGTTGACCACCAAGTCACTTGATTCAGAAAACGTTATACACGTTGAACATAACGTTTAATAAGCATCCACGACTTCCATAACTGAAATTGCGTAATGTGTTAGACTGATACTTAAACGACTGGAATACTAACGCTAGTATTTTATCCGGGACTCTCTATTTTTCTTTTATTCAGTATAGCATTTGATGTCTAGTTGAACTGCATGAAATTAATGGATTTCGAACCATACTTTTTGATTATCTGTAACATAAGTTCATTGTACCAGCAGAGTAACAAAGTTAGAATTATTTACAGCAAGTTTAACAAAGTGGCAAAGTAATAAGTAAAAGTAACTAACCTTCAAAAACAGACAGAGAGGTTATCAGGCGAAATGCAGGAATGACTCAATGCCAAGATACCCCTGCATTCATACCCGAGACCTCCAGTCCACGTTTGAAAGCATGTCACTACCCATCTGTCCATTTTAGGATTAATAACAATGGCTTCCCACAAATTATGCTTAGTTAAATGTTTATAGCCTGGTCGGTTGTGTCGGAAACTGATCAGCTGGGTCTAGAATTTCAATTGAGCTAGTTGATTAGCATCTGCCAGCTGGTTTGACTGGTTTCGACAGCTTGCATCTCCAAGGGTTACGTAACATGATACAAGTCCTGTAAACTATGTAGCGTTTACTGGCTTGGGAATGTGAAATTTGATTTTGATAAAACTTGAAGAAAAATATAATGATTTTCGCACTGTTATACTATCACCGTTATTTGGAGAGTGTCTGACACAAAACTATCAATCTTTGCTTCATGTTTCTACATGTACAGGGGCGGTCGGGTAGCCTAGTGGTTAAAGTGTTCGCTCGTCACGCCGAAGACCCGGGCTCGATTCCCGACAAGGGTACAATGTTCGAAGCCCATTTCTGGTGACCCCCGCCGTGATATTGCTTGAATATTGCTAAAAGCGGCGTAAAACCATACTCACTCACTCACTCTACATGTACATGCTTGTGACGTTACGCATACTGACGTGAAGAGATTGAGACTGCGACTGTGCCTGAAGAGACCCCACATGACTGGCAGTCTTTAAAAATGAAGGAATGGTGCTGTCCTCTTTGTTCAGTGGAAACATGAAAACGCCTCAGCGTCTAACACTGACACCGTGGCAAATAGTAACTTGGCACCAAAATGAAAAAGATGACGAGATAGTGCATTTTAATTCATGGAAGTAAGATCAACAGATGAAGTCAAGTTTGTCGAAATAGCAAATGATCTCATTCAATCGAAGTTCTATCAGCCAATACTCAATCATGGAATTCTAAGTCTACAGTCTTGGTGTTATCGTTTGCTGATTAGTTTTTACAGTTCAAAGGTAGAGCCACTGATAACGCATTTTAGGCCAGGGGTCGCAACTCGCACTGATTTGGTGACTCATTATTTCGTGATGTACAGTATTCTTGAGGAACACCATACCTGCATCACTTCGGGCCTCCTCCCACATTAAGCTGACACGCCGCGATATAACTGGAATACTGTTAAAAGCGGCGTTAAACCAAACTCACTCACTCACTCACTCTTGAGGAAAAATTTCTTGTAGGACCAACCGCTTGGTGGAATAGAAGGAATACTGAGCACAGACATACAAAGTATATAAGAATATTCATGCCAGCTTAAAAAATCTTTGATTGTTTTATAGCAGCCAGAAAATAAGTACGGTTCAACTATATCAAGATGACATCAAACTGAAATCTATTTGTTGTTTATATATCAAAGTTGGCTAAATTGTTATAAAATGTTTAGAATCACAGCAAGGCTACTCATCCTCTCAACATGAGTGAGTGAGTGAGTAGTATAACATGCACTTTTGCCCGTTTTTTAATTGCTGTCCTCTCATTGGCTGATTTCTACCCGGAGGGGTCCCGCCCCCCACCCCCAAACCCAGAGTAATGATGTCTTATATTTCTGTCCTTTCTTCTTGGGACTTCGGGTGTAAATTTGTACATGTTCAGTGTCTTCGTGCATGTACTACCTCTCTAACTCTCGCCAACGTCACCTTTCACCTATCATCTCCCTATTTAAGCCCCGTTCCTTTAAAAAACCCAGGACAATATCCCAACCCCTTGGGGGCGAGGCTGTCGTTTTCGTGCGAGATAAATCCTTTATGATATCGGCAACCCTATGATCTAGTAAAGTAATAGATAAATATAATTGGTTTGAACATTTCAGGAACGATACATCGAGTCCTCAGCATAGAAATAAGCTACGTAACTACCGTCTTTTAAAAAAAATATCTTTGTCCCGGGCATTTTCTTGCAAAGCATTGTATCCTGGAAATATCTCTCTAGACAACGCTAGGGAAGCATCTCCCTTCATGCAGAGGCTGGTTGGCGCATTAGACACCCCTTTAGAGCACAGAACTTGTTATTTTTGTAACACAGTGGAAACAGAAGTTCATCTCCTTTCAGAGTGTAATTTCTATAAGGACCTAAGACACGCCATTATTTTATCTTCTTACAATTCTACAGAACGTAAATATTTTACATTAAATTGTTATCTGAAAAAAATCCTAAGCATATCAAATGTATTGCTTCTACCATAAGAAACATATTTGTAGATGATAATTAATCATATGATACTTGCATTGTGTATTGTTTTACATCATTTTATAACGAGTATATCATTGTGAATAGTATAATAATTTCATCGTACATAATGTTATAAATAAGTAGTGTCTCGTAAGCCAAGATGTGGCTGGATGTTAAACATATTTCATTGTGGTGTGAAATGTTTCAGCAAAGTGTGTTTAACTTGTGACACTTTAATAAACTATTTCTGTCTGTCTGTTGTGACGAATCACCAGGAAAGTTTCACATTGGGCTTAAATGTCGTCACAGTGGACAGCGTTGGTCTTTGATTGGCTGTCCCGTAAAACTCACTTATGAACAGAAAATAAATTGAGGCTGTAGAGTCGCGTGTCAGATCATTCGTACAAGCTCCGCCCACTCAGTGCGGTCGTTTCCTACCTCAAATACTCTTTCAACCGTAAGTGATAACCATATGATCTGTTTAGTTTGGAAAAGATCCTGAGTGGATAAGTGGATCAACAAACAAGATGCGAGTTGTGTCCTGGCATGTTTTAGGAATCTTGAAGACGTGCGCCGTTTGTGTGTGTCTGTTGTTTGCTTACATTGCCTGGCCTGGAGGATTGCAAAGGAGCAAGATTACCATTGATAACAGGAACTTCAACTCAAGGTAAACCAGGGAATCCTTACTATTACCCCAGGGTTGAAATATAAAGCTGCACATATCTCCGACATTCCATTTATTCCAAATTTAAAAATTCCAAAAATTCAATATAATTAAGCAACCCCTAAAAGCCCCCTCTTGGGTTGCACACACCACTTTCACCCTTTTCGGAATACACTAAATGGTCTGGCCAGGCCCGTGTGCGAAATACGCTACAGTCGGAAAGCGCACGTTAAATCTTCTATATCAGTCAGTCAGTCCGACATTTACACATGTAAAAATGTCACTCTTGAGTCCATTTAGGCATTTGATCGGTAGATTGTAGACAGGGACTAATTCTGTTACATTCATTCGTTTATATTTCGACAACACGAACACAGTGGCATTCAATTTGCCAAGGGCATGTAATATTGTTTACTTGAGGAAAACATTTTACTTTTATTTTTTACTATTTACATCACATACTTCCACTGTGGCTTCGTCCCTAGGGCACGCCAGAAACCTATGATTTTGGGTTCGAATCCCTGTTCGCCCCGATTATGTTTCTAGGTTTGTCAGCACCATACCCGTGCTCGTGGGTTTCGCCGAAGTGGTAAATGTCTGAGACCTACATCACTTCGGGCTTTCCTCCCACATTAAGCTGACACGCCGTGATATAACTGGAATACTGTTAAAAGCGGCGTTAAACCCAACACACTCATTCACTCCACTGTGGCCTGGTCATCAGACATAGCATTGCCCTATTGCTCAACTGGTACTGTTTGGTTGTTTTTTATTGATCATCTTCAAGTTACATCTGTTGTCATCAACAGAATATAACACTTGCTTCAATTTGAAATTTATGTGAATGCCTCGGGCAAACTAGAAAAATATTTCACAAGAGATATTAATTAATCTCAAGCTTTTTGGAGTTCATCTTAGCAGCAAATAGTCAATGGGGTCGGTACCAACTCATTGGCAACGCGTTGGAGTAAACAGGGCTTTTAGTCTTCCACGGGTCAGATCGTGTCGGCAAGATGATAATATTTGACTGTTTACTGCGAAATCGGCTCCGAACTGTCATTTTGACAAAAGTAGCATACCTAGCTTACATCCGATTAAAGCATCACATCCGACCATAACGTCTGAGTCCAGGTTTCATCTTGACAGTAGTGATTGATGGCCGTCAGCGTGTTTATCAATGTCAGATGGAACTTTGTGCACTGAAGCTTGTTTTGTAGCCTTCTGCATTCGGTGGTGGGAGCATATCGGTGAGGGGAGACACATCGAAGGAGCCCTTTAATAGTCAGTGTAGATGACAGAAAGTCACTTTTGTTTTTATTTAGCGGTATGCGGTTGAATGGCTTGGTTTGGACAGGAGTGGTAACTGCAAGTGAATGGTATGTGGGAAAAAGCATGCGGTTTGATGTGAAATTTCAAAGTATGCATCGCTATGAGTTGTAGACTGATGTCCGGCTATTTGGGACGCTATGATTCTGACATTGCATATGCATGGAAGGTATATATATATGTATCTATGAAAGTGTAATTTAATATAACGTTCCTTTGAAGTCAGAAATATTTCAGAGTTACCATGGTTGTGTGATGTGTGGTGAGCTCGAGGTGAGGTGAAATGGGGTTTAACGTCGCGTCCAAGATTACTGCACTTATATAGCGACGTGAATGTACGTGTGTGTGTGTGTGGCTGCTTGTACTAGTCCGGACTGATGCCGATTTATAGTGCTAGCTCACTGAGATACCATGCCGCAGTTTAACATGAATACCCCACTCAGACACAGTACACTGACTCCGAGCCGACCAGTCCTTGTTTTAGCCCCTTAATGCCGAGCGCCAGACAGGGTAACAACAAGTACCATCTTTTAACGTCTTTTGGTATGACGCGGTCGGGGATCGAACCCCGGACCTTCCGCTCTCCGGGCGGACGCTCTGCCACTAGACCACGGAGGCGGTCTTGTGTGATGTGTGTATGTATGTACCGTATGTTGGATTATTACGGAGCGACTTAGTGTTTTGTATGGTTTCAGCTTCAACCTGCTTCGTAAGCCATACTGATAGTATTTACCAACGCAACAATACGAATGTATGCCATATGTTTCACGTCGAATTTTGACTCTTTGGATACATCATGTCACAGAATAAAGAAGTGTATTAGAAAATGGCAGAATCGGATATTTATTGACTTAGAAATTGACAGTTATTGGTGACAATTTGGCATGAGTGGGTTATCCTAACGAAATTGTCCGCACTCACGTGTGCACGTCCTCGAGTTCCTTTAGACCCATGGACGTGACACCACTTCACACTTGCTTGATAAAGGTGTTAGGATATGATTTACACCGAAACGTCGCACTAATTGTAATAAAGAAGTTATACATCCATAGAACTTGTCTCACTTCATCACACCAACTTCTAAATGCCACTGTAAGGAGTTAAGCAACAAACCAACCAAAATCATTCCACAACAGGACATTACCACACTTCCTTCACCTTCTATTTCAACTGATCTGTTGCATGATGCTTGTATCACTGCTGTGTATCACTGATACTGACTTGTGAAAGGATAAGTGACTGTTTCAATCCGAGAAGACGTTCACACAGGACATGTGTTGACACTATCGTGATGAATCATGTTTTATGTTGCAAAATCCTTTTTTAAATAGCCAATGCCGCGGACGTTAATGTTACACGCAACTGGTCTTATTGAGTGATGGCGAAATGTGAGGACTGCAGCATGTGCACTGTAATCTGCAGTGGAAATGAGGCCATCTGAAATTACAAATTAGGATGGTTTTAGACTGCCTCTGACGCCAGCTGCTATGATGCAGTGTCCGGTGTGTTTTGATGATAACTGTAATGGATGTTTCTGAACCATTTCTGAGCAACTGATTGCTTGAAAAATACATGGTAGATTTCCATTAAGCATATATATTTCCTAAATAAATACTGTCAGAATTAAAAGAAAATATATGTCAGATGTAACTTGAATGTTGACATAAAAGTAACATTAAAAATCAGTTGTTTTAGTTTGAATGTTATTGCTTCTTCAATTATTTGTAAAGGCACGCATGTATACGAACTATAGATCAGTGGTAAGGGCCTGTCAAAGATGTATTTGTGCTGCGAATGTAGGCGTCTCTCCAATTTTATTACATTGAAGTCCATGGTAGTTTGATAACTATTTAAGATTAGAATGCTTGAATGCTTGTAATTGTCGTGGGACGTAACATTAAGGATGATAAATAAAAAGAGTTTGAAATATAGCTGCAAGCAGTGATGTTTGGCTTCGTGCTTTACTGAACTACAGTTGCGGATTGTGGTTTACATTCGTGGAAGTCCATGCACACTATCTCACCTGTGTTACACAGAGAACTAAAACAATGAACCCGAGTTCTTAATGGCCGTAGTTAAGAAAGCATTTCCTGCTGTCTTATAAGTCACTTCCGGTATCAGGAAGGATAAGTGCACTACTGTATCTGATTATTAAATGGTCTTTATGAGCAATGTGATATTTAGCTGGTCCGTTTTGAGTGAGAAAAAATTGTCAGTTTTGGCAATGCTCCAGTTTGGCATTTTATTGTGGTAACTCTATTTGTCTTCTTTGCATTTGAGGCTTCATAGCCCGCCAATACGACCACCGCCAGTATCAACAGCTGCAGCCGAGAACAGTGTAGAGGCGGTTATACACTACATGGACAATAATGCAATGTACCCGGCGCAGCCCCTTCCTAGGTGAGAGCTGCTATGGGGTTCTACAGTCAAAACATAACCACAGCATGACCCTCAGTGTTTCGGGGGACATAAATCAAGTTTTTCGAAGCACAATTTATTTTTTTACAGACATAAGACCATAAGGGCAAGAACCACAATTAGGTAAGGTACACTTTTGCGCTGTTTTGCATTCTGGTTTTCCTTTTGAGATAGAAACCCTAGTGAGTGAGTGAGTGAGTGAGTGAGTATGGTTTTACGCCGCTTTTAGCAATATTCCAGCAATATCACAATATCAATATTGATAAGTTTATTCAGTGACATTTATGGTCTTTACACTTACTTAAAAAATACCATGTCTCCTGAACATTTCCAAATATTGTTTATTGCGTCTTCTACTATTTTTCTAGGGTAGTTTCTTTCTAATAGTGACTACCTCAGTTCATCGAGTCTACATTGTGCACGATCTAAGTTAGATACTAGCACACAGATTCTATGTGCCTATGAGTAAGGGATACTGTTTTTAGTATGACTGGGGTGACAGGAATTGTAATTGAGGTATCGTTTGGAATATGTTGGAATATGACTGATGCAGCTGTGGACCCCATTTACACATTCCCATTGCTATTAGGGAAGCAGATACACAGTATCTTATTGGTGTGTATTGGCAAATGGGGTCACTGCACGACCTTGCTTTAGTGCCGAGAATACAACTTTCAGACATAACCGAATCAGCATGTTGACACGTGATTACCATAGTCGGTTTCTGCAGACGTTCCCAAGTGGCGTTATGCAAGAGGTTTCTCTGAAATCCGTCAACCATAGCCATAGAACACAGTTGCAGTTCACCAGGAAACAGGGCACAACATCACACCACAGACATCACAGGGTCGGTACTAATTCAAGAAATAACCAGCCTATTGGAGAAGGCTGTTGCGAGCACGTTCATCAGTATTCTCAGTAGATTGAAATGCTGTGAACGAGGCTTATTCCGAAATTTTCTTCTTTCACTACTTCTAAAATAGATTTCTATAGTCCGTTTCTTCTTGCGTTGATCATCAGCAGTATGTACACTGTATCTCACTAACACAGACAACTGACCTCGGTAGTCAACAGCGGATAAACATAATCGCAGTTCCCTGAAAATTATACACAGTAGTTGTTTATGAAATCCACAAACCTATACCACAGGTTTACCGACAATATATACTCTACGCTTCTTTCAGTGTCTTTACTGAACAAGTTTGAAGTGTCTTAATATCTCATTCTTTACCCAACAAATTGACATTTTCAGTCAGATCACAGTTTGGTGTATGTAGAACTTAGGAGTTTGTGAATGCATTTCAATATCGAACTGCATATTTAAATAATGAAGAGTGCCCAGTCTGACAGTTATTGGATGATCTGGCGAGGTACAATAAAGTAAAAATATGTTGTTATAGATAAATTCTGGTTCATTTTGTCTCTTCGTAGCCTTCAATGCGATGTGGCAACAATTAGGCATAACCATGGACAAGTCCAGTCTACAAACACACACGAAATCTAGGCGAAATTGACTCAGAATTAGCCGAGATATTAGTGTTTAGAGTTCTGCTATATGTCAAGTTTATGACAGGGGCCAAAGAATTCCCTTTTCAACACGCTGTCACTTTGTTGTCCTTGGCACTAGAGTCAAACGGATTGGTGTTCTGAGTTTGTCAGGACCCCAGGGACCTGTCACAATGCTAAGATGCTAAAATGCATGTCGAAATGCTTCAATCCAATATGGCTGCCAAACGGTGCGTTGTAGCTACCATGGTTCTGCAGTACAACATGATTGGCATCTGATTGCCCTGCCGCATGGCAAATCTGGAAGTCATTGGACAGTTGGTTTCGAAGATTATTGCTGCTGAACTTGAAACTTTGATGAGTTATCTGCCCTTAGCCATTGGGCCTATGGCCTTGGGTTTTCGCTGATATCTGCTTCACATTGGTGTCCATGTTGCTATTGATTTTGGAGCGATTCTTCCACTGGCGATTCTGGCGGAATAACAAATAATAATCCCATCAAGTACAATAGGTCTTCTGCCTTGCAGGTACGAAGCCCTAAATATTTCATCGATGCAATATGTTAGCCCAGACTGACAGAATGCCTCGCCGTTTTCTGACCTTGAAAATACCGTGGCAATATACCGTTTTTCATGGCGATTTCCCAGCTATCTTCTATCGTGACAATTCGTCTTTTAGTTGAAGACTCAACAAATGTTGATATTTTAAACAAATGATCACTACAAAATATGTGCCAGTTAAAAATATTTACTTGTAAACGGCTATTTTTGAATGAAGGTGCAACAGGGTAAAGCTTAAGCTTGGCTCCGTCTCTACACGTTTGTCGCAGCGCGCATAGATCCAAAAACAAGACCGGAAGCGACATGTTGGACCGTCGCTTAGATCATTTCAAAGGGAGAGTTATTTCCCTTTTGAACAAATAAGATCGCCCATTTATGCTACTGTACCATTTTGTATGGGCCTGACATGTGTTGCGATATTTGCAATTTGGTGCTACGGTACATTATTGATGGGTTTGTAAAATTAATGCTGATGACGTCTACGATGGTTGCAACTGCATGACTAATGGCCCTGAAGTAGACACCATGATACCCAACATTTTAACCATATTCCGTTTTTGGTAATCATATGGATTGCAAATGGCATGTGATGTAATTTGAGATGATGCTTAATATAGTATGATTATTGAATAAGAATGTAGCTATCTGATTGGCCAGTTACCATCTTGTAAAACCCGTTCAGGTCACTCGGTTGCCGCTTCACAATTAACCTCTGTTCACACACTAATGGTGGTCTCAAGATAGATGTTGTTGTCACATTCCGCTACTGTTACATAGTCCGGAACATCTTTCTTTTGTGGTTTAGTACCGTATTCGACGTAATAAGCGCTCCGCTCTAATAAGCAACCACGGCGATATTTGCTAATATATTGGCTCGTTAACAATCCCAATTAGCACCCTTTCCGATTGATCAATGTACACAATACTTCTTTATTCGCTAATAATACGCACTCGTGTGTTATATGCACCCTTAATTATGGGCAATTAAATTCTGGAAAAATATATCTCTCCTATATAAACATTTCAGGCTGTCAGCTGAAACAACGACATTTATCTTTCAACTCTGTTTTTTTTCGACAAAATAATATTCTAAAAAGAGCCCCTTATTTCTAATTTTGAGTGCGCCCTGGGCGCTTATTACGTCGAAAACGGTATTTGGGAACATAGCCATAAGGGTGTCCGTAGTGTGTTTCTGAATATGAATAAATTACCATCATATTATATTTTATTTATATTATATATGTACCGACAATCTATTTTAAGGCAAATAGACAAGTTCAGCACTGTTCAGTCAGATCGATGGACAGTGGTGACAACCATCTCCTACCCTACTCCAGACATCAAGTTCCTGGCAAACATACCCGGATGGAAGGTTGTTGTCGTCGGAGACACCAAGACGCCAGCAGACTGGAGGTAACGTCAGAGTCTATCTGTATTTCAGTGATATACACCTGGGAAAATGTAACTCACCCCCTGAGAACATGAATTATAACATGTCACCATTGATTTCACATGTTATAGAAATACTGATTATGACAGGAATGACGCTCCACTCTGAGGATGTCACCGTTCACATGTGAGAACATGACACGCATGTATTCCCCATAATGCCGGATGTTTAGGCATACAAATCTGGATGTTTAAACCCGCTGACAGGAATGACGCAGCTCACACGTCCCACTTTAATTCTGGAAACCCATTTGTCCAGAAACTCTCCATGCTGTGGCCAGTCTCTGTCAAAGGTATTTGCAAAATTGAACATGCCCCACTCTGAGGATGTCACCGTTCACATGTGAACAACATGTGTTCCCCATTGTGCCGGATGTTTAGACATTCAACTCTGGATGTTTAAACCCGCTGTCTTCCCTGAGAACATGGTACACAGAAAGGTATCAGAGTCCTTTGCCATACAGTAAACAATAGCTACTCAATTGGCATGCTGTGTATCGTAACAGGTTTGGGATCTAAGACGCTTGAGGAAAATTTTATTGATCAGATGAAGTTGGGTTCCTGATCCTTGTCACAGATGAACGACTGGGGGTTTGGATTCACAGGAATATGGCGTATACACCTAGGAACATCAGGCCAACTGTTGGGGGTGGTTCGGTAATGATTGTGGGTGTATCTCACATGGTTTCAAGGTGGACATGAGGGGGCAGGGTGGCCCAGTCGTCTTAGGCGCTGCGATTCGATGTGCAGAGTTGCGTCCCTTGGGTACGCCAGATTGTGGGTTGGAATCCCGGTTCGCCCCGATTATGTTTCTAGTATGTCAGCACCATACCCGTTCTCGTGGGTGTCACCAAAGTGCTAAACGTCTGAGACCTGCATCAATTCGGGCTTTCCTCCCACATTAAGCTGACACCACGTCGTGATATAACTGGAATACTGTTAAAAGCGGCGTTAAACCCAACTCACTCACTCACTCAAGGTGGATACCCTCACACGTAGTCAGTACATCTTAAATATCTTTAAACGAGTTAAAATTAATTAAACCTCCGTTTCGACAACCACCTCCCTGGCACAAAATCTCAGTACATGAATGATAAGACCCTTGAAGATCCGGAATAAAAATGGGTCTTCAGCAACCCATGCTGGCGTAAAAAGCAACTATGCTCATCGTAAGGAGCGACCAACGGGATCGGGTGGTCTGACTTGGTTGATGCACGGCATCGTATCCCAATTGCGTGGATCGATGTTCATGATGTCATCACTGGATTGTCTGGTCCAGACTCGATTATTTACAGACCTCCGTCATATAGCTGGAATATTGCTGAGTGCGGCGTTAAACAACAAAAAACAAACACACATGAATGATGACGCCAGACCACATCCGGGCAGTGTCAGCCTACGTCCAGAACAAGGCTATGATGGTTCTGCCTTGACGTACCATGAGTCTTGATCTGGATCCTCTGGGTCCTTGGGCATCATGTACAGAATCAGTGTGGATTGGAAGCAGCTTTGCATTAGGAGTGGCAGCAGTTTCCCCTTCAGCAGATCCGTAACTAACAGGGATACTGCCCATGGTGTCAACTGAACCTTTACACTTCAGGTGTCATTTAGGAAGCCAAAGTGACATTTATATCCAGAAGCAGCCACCTGTAGTTGGCTTATAAACCCTGCAGCAACATAGGGACATTGTTGTGGTCTGAAAGCACCTCTGGTTATGTTACAATATTTCAAATCTAACCGATGCTGGCAATGGAGGCTATTTCTTGTCAGAGGCTTTTTCTTTCAGACCGCCTTCGTTTGTTTAGCGGTAGAGCGTTCACCCGTAGAGTGAAAGGTCGTAGGCTCGATCCCCGCCGCGTCATACCAAAAAGACATTAAAGTATGGTACTTGTTGTTACCCTGCTTGGCGCTCGAATTAAGGGGCTAAAATTCTAAAATTGCCACATTCAATGATGAATAAACGCTTCCCGATTTCTTTGAAGGTAACAATGAAACAATGAATGTATCCTAATGATTCTTCTCAACGTTACTCTGTTTCAGGAACCAAAACTGTGTATTTTTAAGTTTAGAGGATCAGCGTGGGCTTGGCTTTGACACAGAGTCACTTCTGCCTGAGGAGAGCTATGCAAGAAAGACGATGGGATATCTGTTTGCAATAGCTCATGGCGCAAAGGTAATTTATGAAACTGATGATGACAATCGTCCCCTTGATCTACTGAAAACTTTCAAACTAGATCCAACAATGTGGGGAATCTTGTACAGAGGGGAAAAACTCTTTAATCCCTACCGCCATTTTGGACAGCCGACATTGTGGCCAAGAGGATATCCGCTTGGTTCTGTAGGAGAATCACCAACAACAGAATATCTACTAAATCACTGGAAAACGCCATCTATTCAGCAGGGTTTGGTCAACAGAGATCCAGATATGGATGCCATTTTCAGACTGACCCGGAAACAAACCCGTTCTCAGCTGAATGTGACCTTTGATGGAAGAGCTCCACCAGCAATTGTTCCAGCTGGCGTTTTTGCTCCCTTTAATTCCCAGAATACCCTTTTCTTGTATGATGCATTATGGGCACTCCTAATTCCATCAACCACGACATTCCGAGTGTGTGATATTTGGAGAGGCTACTGGGCTCAGAGACTCTTGTGGGAGATGGGAGGAAATGTAGGGTTCTTCCCACCAAATGCTGTCCAGAGGAGGAACTCTCATTCCTACCTCAGTGATGCACAGGAAGAGAAGGATCTCTATTTCCAGACAGAACGCCTTGTTGATTTCCTTACCAAATGGAAATGTGGAGCAAATAGAACATTTTTTGCTTGTATGACTAAATTATCGACTGATATGGTACATGAGAACTTTTGGAAGGAAAGGGATGCAAGTCTGACATCTCTTTGGATCAAGGACCTTGTGGCACTTGGCTACAAGGAACCAAAAAGAATTCCGTTTGGTTCTCTAAAATACGCTGCTCAATATATAACAGTAGAGAAATTGCAAACACAAACTCGTATGACGGATCAACAGATCAATGTCAAATTCTGGGCGGCTGGGCAAACACCACCCCAGATATATTCCCAAGCTACGCAGTCACCTGCGGTTGTGTCGCATGCTGCTCAAATAGCTTCCTATTGCAGCGGTGAATCGTTTATAGCATCTAAACTGACAGATATCATTACATATCCAAATATTTTGTTAATTGTAGTGTTCAACTTTCCCCACTATGAGAATCTCCAGTTTCTGGAGACAATGTACAGCATGCACTTTCCTCACATCATTTATTGTGGAGCCAACAAAGATCAATTTGACACTCACGCTAAGCTCCTTCTCCTTGTTTTGTATGGTTTCAGCTTCAACCTGCTTCGTAAGCCATACCGATAGTATTTACCAACGCAACAATACGAATGTATGCCATATGTTTCGAATTTTGACTCTTTGGATACATCATGTCACAGAATAAAGCAGTGTATTAGAAAATGGCAGAATCGGATATTTATTGACTTAGAAATTGACAGTTATTGGTGACAATTTGGCATGAGTGGGTTATCCTAACGAAATTGTCCGCACTCACGTGTGCACGTCCTCGAGTTCCTTTAGACCCATGGACGTGACATCACTTCACACTTGCTTGATAAAGGTGTTAGGATATGATTTACACCGAAACGTCGCACTAATTGTAATAAAGAAGTTATACATCCATAGAACTTGTCTCACTTCATCACACCAACTTCTAAATGCCACTGTAAGGAGTTAAGCAACAAACCAACCAAAATCATTCCACAACAGGACATTACCACACTTCCTTCACCTTCTATTTCAACTGATCTGTTGCATGATGCTTGTATCACTGCTGTGTATCACTGATACTGACTTGTGAAAGGATAAGTGACTGTTTCAATCCGAGAAGACGTTCACACAGGACATGTGTTGACACTATCGTGATGAATCATGTTTTATGTTGCAAAATCCTTTTTTAAATAGCCAATGCTGCAGACGTTAATGTTACACGCAACTGGTCTTATTGAGTGATGGCGAAATGTGAGGACTGCAGCATGTGCACTGTAATCTGCAGTGGAAATGAGGCCATCTGAAATTACAAATTAGGATGGTTTTAGACTGCCTCTAACGCCAGCTGCTATGATGCAGTGTCCGGTGTGTTTTGATGATAACTGTAATGGATGTTTCTGAACCATTTCTGAGCAACTGATTGCTTGAAAAATACATGGTAGATTTCCATTCAGCATATTTATTTCCTAAATAAATACTGTCAGAATTAAAAGAAAATATATGTCAGATGTAACTTGAATGTTGACATAAAAGTAACATTAAAAATCAGTTGTTTTAGTTTGAATGTTATTGCTTCTTCAATTATTTGTAAAGGCACGCATGTATACGAACTATAGATCAGTGGTAAGGGCCTGTCAAAGATGTATGTGTCCTAGGTGAGAGCTGCTATGGGGTTCTACAGTCAAAACATAACCACAGCATGACCCTCAGTGTTTCGGGGGACATAAATCAAGTTTTTCGAAGCACAATTTATATTTTTACAGACATAAGACAGTTTTTCCGTCTTTGAATGTAAAAGAACAACATTGTTAACCATAAGGGCAAGAACCACAATTAGGTAAGGTACACTTTTGCTCTGTTTTGCATTCTTGTTTTCCTTTTGAGATAGAAACCCTAGTGAGTGAGTGAGTGAGTATGGTTTTACGCCGCTTTTAGCAATATTCCAGCAATATCACAATATCAATATTGATAAGTTTATTCAGTGACATTTATGGTCTTTACACTTACTTAAAAAATACCATGTCTCCTGAACATTTCCAAATATTGTTTATTGCGTCTTCTACTATTTTTCTAGGGTAGTTTCTACCTCAGTTCATCGAGTCTACATTGTGCACGATCTAAATTAGATACTAGCACACAGATTCTATGTGCCTATGAGTAAGGGATACTGTTTTTAGTATGACGGGGGTGACAGGAATTGTAATTGAGGTATCGTTTGGAATATGTTAGTTCGTATTTACATCTGTTTCAATGTTATTGTTTGAAATTTCAACCATCATATCTAGAAACGATAGATTTTCATTTTCATTTTAAAGTAAAGGTTAAACTTGGATGGAGTGTCTGTAAAATATCGCGCGAGACATTCGCCTTGACGAGAATACCACGTTCAGCGATAGCCAAATCAAACAAAATGCGCGCCCGTGATTTCTATCGTCCGTTCCTCCATGTTCCGCGCCCATGTTTCTATAGTTGAAATGAAATAGAACTGCCAAGCCGCTTTAGTTTCCACATGCATCCAAAAACACAAATACGAGGTTGTTTAGTCATACAAGTTGCAATGTTTTCTATGCAGAACCGTTGAAGATACGAGCGTGAAATATATTTCTATAGTCCGTTTCTGCTTGCCTTGTCCACCCGCAGTATGTACACTGTACCTTACTGACGCTGATAACTGTTTCATTCTTCAGCCTTGATTGACAACGGTATACAGATATATACAGAAACGTCGCCTTTAAAGTAAATACAGAATTTGTTATCTCTAAATTTGAATTAGTTAACATCCATTAATTATCTTCCTCATGTGCATCATTTCAAACTGCAATTCAAAGACTTTGCACTATATAGTCACAGTTTGTATGGGTCGAGAGCACGATGCGGCCACACAGTCAATACACCACATGGGAAACAATACAGTACCAGTTTCCGCGCTATAGCGCTATCGCAGTCTCGCTATACCGTTACCGTGACTGATGCAGCTGTGGACCCCATTTACACATTCCCATTGCTATTAGGGAAGCAGATACACAATATCTTATTGGTGTGTATTGGCAAATGGGGTCAGTGCACGACCTTGCATTAGTGCCGAGAATACAACTTTCAGACATAACCGAATCAGCATGTTGACACGTGATTACCATAGTCGGTTTCTGCAGACGTTCCCAAGTGGCGTTATGCAAGAAGTTTCTCTGAAATCCGTCAACCATAGCCATAGAACCCAATTGCAGTTCACCAGGAAACAGGGCACAACATCACACCACAGACATCACGGGTCGATACTAATTCAAGAAATAACCAGCCTATTGGAGAAGGCCGTTGCGAGCACGTTCATCAGTATTCTCAGTAGATTGAAATGCTGTTGTGAACGAGGCTTATTCCGAAATTTTACTGCAGCTTCTTTCACTACTTCTAAAATAGATTTCTATAGTCCGTTTCTTCTTGCGTTGGTCATCAGCAGTACATGTATGTACACTGTATCTCACTAACACAGACAACTGATCTCGGTAGTCAACAGCGGATAAACATAATCGCAGTTCCCTGAAAATTATACACAGTAGTTGTTTATGAAATCCACAAACCTATATCACAGGTTTACCAACAATATATACTCTACGCTTCTTTCAGTGTCTTTAGTGAACAAGTTTGAAGTGTCTTAATATCTCATTCTTTACCCCACAAATTGACATTTTCAGTCAGATCACAGTTTGGTGTATGTAGAACTTAGGAGTTTGTGAATGCATTTCAATATCGAACTGCATATTTAAATACTGAAGAGTGCCTAGTCTGACAGTTATTGGATGATCTGGCGAGGTACAATAAGTTAAAATATGTTGTTATAGATAAATTCTGGTTCATTTTGTCTCTTCGTAGCCTTCAATGCGATGTGGCGACAATTAGGCATAACCATGGACAAGTCCAGTCTACAAACACACACGAAATCTAGGCGAAATTGACTCAGAATTAGCCGAGATATTAGTGTTTAGAGTTCTGCTCTATGTCAAGTTTATGACAGGGGCCAAAGAATTCCCTTTTCAACACGCTGTCACTTTGTTGTCCTTGGCACTAGAGTCAAACGGATTGGTGTTCTGAGTTTGTCAGGACCCCAGGGACACGTCGCATTGCTTAGATGCTAAAATGCATGTCGAAATGCTTCAATCCAATATGGCTGCCAAACGGTGCGTTGTAGCTACCATGGTTCTGCAGTACAACATGATTGGCATCTGATTGCCCTGCCGCATGGCAAATCTGGAAGTCATTGGACAGTTGGTTTCGAAGATTATTGCTGCTGAACTTGAAACTTTGATGAGTTATCTGCCCTTAGCCATTGGGCCTATGGCCTTGGGATTTTGCTGGTATCTGCTTCACATTAGTGTCCATGTTGCTGTTGGTTTGGAGCGATTCTGGCCACTGGCGATTCTGGCGGAATAACAAATAATAATCCTATCAAGTACAATAGGTCTTCTGCCTTGCAGGCACGAAGCCCTAAATATTTCATCGATGCAATATGTTAGCCCAGACTGACAGAATGCCTCGCCGTTTTCTGACCTTGAAAATACCGTGGCAATATACCGTTTTTCATGGCGATTTCCCAGCTATCTTCTATCGTGACAATTCGTCTTTTAGTTGAAGACTCAACAAATGTTGATATTCTAAACAAATGATCACTACAAAATATGTGCCAGTTAAAAATATTTACTTGTAAACGGCTATTTTTGAATGAAGGTGCAACAGGGTAAAGCTTAAGCTTGGCTCCGTCTCTACACGTTTGTCGCAGCGCGCATAGATCCAAAAACAAGATCGGAAGCGACAGGTTGGACCGTCGCTTAGATCATTTCAAAGGGAGAGTTATTTCCCTTTGGAACAAATAAGATCGCCCATTTATGCTACTGTACCATTTTGTATGGGCCTGACATGTGTTGCGATATTTGCAATTTGGTGCTACGGTACATTATTGATGGGTTTGTAAATGCTGATGACGTCTACGATGGTTGCAACTGCATGACTAATGGCCCTGAAGTAGACACCATGATACCCAACATTTTAACCATATTCCGTTTTTGGTAATCATATGGATTGCAAATGGCATGTGATGTAATTTGAGATGATGCTTAATATAGTATGATTATTGAATAAGAATGTAGCTATCTGATTGGCCAGTTACCATCTTGTAAAACCCGTTCAGGTCACTCGGTTGCCGCTTCACAATTAACCTCTGTTCACACACTAATGGTGGTCTCAAGATAGATGTTGTTGTCACATTCCGCTACTGTTACATAGTCCGGAACATCTTTCTTTTGTGGTTTAGTACCGTATTCGACGTAATAAGCGCTCCGCTCTAATAAGCAACCACGGCGATATTTGCTAATATATTGGCTCGTTAACAATCCCAATTAGCACCCTTTCCGATTGATCAATGTACACAATACTTCTTTATTCGCTAATAATACGCACTCGTGTGTTATATGCACCCTTAATTATGGGCAATTAAATTCTGGAAAAATATATCTCCTATATAAACATTTCAGGCTGTCAGCTGAAACAACGACATTTATCTTTCAACTCTGTTTTTTTTCGACAAAATAATATTCTAAAAAGAG